GATCACGGACGTCATGCTCCAGAATGCAGGGTTGACAAGAACGCAGGTCTTACGCAACCAAAAAGCTGACCAGACCGCCAAGGCGGAAGCTTGGAAAGCTGCCGCGGTTCATTCTTCAATGTTCACATTGGTTCAGAAGCGAGTGAACGAACGACAGTTCCAGTTGGCCAAGTTGAATAAATGCATCGGCGACCAATGCTCCCTTAAGGTGGTCACGCCTACCAAGGATGAGATCTGCGCTGATGGCAGAGCATTTTCGCCGTCCCGTTTTCCAACTTGGAACTGGCATCCATGTATTGAAGAGTTTACCTGGCAACCACAAAAGTGTCCTATCATGTTTGATGCTAAGAGCAAATTCTCCGAAACCGATCAGAATACAATTTTGGAATTCTTGCAATCCCTCAAATGGCAGACTGCTGATGACAAAGGAGTGGCCTTTGTAGAGCTGCTTTGCGTCTTTGTGGGGAGAGGATACAAGTTTCAACTTTTTTCTGATTTGAGTGTCGAATTTTGCGATGTGTTAAAGCACTTCAAACGAACCATCGTCGCCATCATGGCCACTCCGGACCAAACACTGATTCCGGGCCTCTATCGTTCAACAGAAGCATACAAATGCGGCAGGGCTCTTCCTAAGGGCGCCATTTTCGGAGCCAGACCTCTGTTCACGTTTGAGGAGCTTGAACGGTTTGCGGGCATCTTGTTGGAAGGCTGTGGCCAAAGTCTGACTACTTGGAGATTCCCTCTTTCGATGTGCTGTGCATAGTTCTTTTGTCTCACATGTTTTCTTTTACGTCGTTAGACCTGAGTGTCTGCGATGTGCCTCCTACAATGGGAGGTATGGGAGATGCAACAGAAGGCGTTCACCAAACCACAAGGATCCAGTGATTTACCTGGATCCACATGCACTCGTCATGAAAGCACCCAACTTGGTCTTCCGGCATTTGCCAAAATGGATTAAAAGGAGGTGTACACAAAACACATCAATAAACAACCATCCGCCAAAAAAACATATACGTACTCAATAAAAACACCTTGAATAGTCACACCATCACAAAACAACACCCTAGCCTTCCAAGACCATCAAAAGAAAGGTTGACCAGGTCTTGTAAAATGCCCCAAGGGTTTCACCACTGTTCACCATTGTTTTGTGTTCAGGCGGTTAAATCAATGGTGGGTCAGGACTCTCTCCAAAAGACCAGAAACGTGGGTTTTCTCCACTCCTCCCACGTGTGCCTGCGACTCCCAGGGCGAGAAGGCACAGCTCACACGCCAGGACTGAAGAAATCGACCGGTGACCCCGGTGGGCGAGGCTGTGGGGCGAAGATCGAAACATCGAGGTGGCAAAACAGAACACACAAATACTTAAACTAACATATTAAGACATCTAAATATATGGTTGTATAAACATGTGTAACCAATTAAATCTATCAATATAGTTAGCAAACTAGTAGAAACAATTACAGTATAACATAAGTTAACGTTTTAAACTAAAATTGCACATTTTTGTTAAGGGTGCCTGGGTTTGGTTGCAGCATATCCAAGTGTCACGTGGCAGAGCTGGAGAGCTATATCATGCAGACATCTAGCTACAGGTACACGAACTGCTTGGACCAGGGCGAACTTGTCGGGCTGGGTGGACCAGTTTTCGGACCAGGAACTGACCTGGTTGGACCAGGAACTCTATTGGCGAACTGTCTGGTTCGGGTTCCAAGAGGTGCCCAACTCTTCGACTCCAACGGATCGGACTCGTATGCAAACAGACCGACAGACCAACTGCATCAAGCGGATCGGTGCCCGATGTCCGACCTCGGGGTCAGTTTGGTACCATATATATGTCAAAGTTGTACACTTGGTGGTATCCCCTCTATTGACCAATCAACCAATGTGAAAAGGCCATCTATACCTGGGATTCCAATGATTTGCATGGTTTCTTCAACGATCATGAAACCATGCCCCAGTCTCCCCGAAACCTTATCCACAGGACCGGCACTTAACATAGCACCCGCGCAAGATGGCAGTTTCAGGATGGATCTTCTTTTCCCTTTGGCAATTCTGGGTATGGATGCCTTATATACTCTAGTTGAAGTGTCGATCAAGTAGGTGGCACAAACTGCACCTATCAAGGATGTTAATCAACCCTTACGTTCAATTGATGTTTGTGGACTGCCAAGGAGATTCATCTAAAAAGTCTAAAAAGCTTTTCTTTAGGAAAAATTAGTGAATTCAGTGACCACAAGTCTTGGTTGCCAAAGGCATAATTTTTCCAATGTCAATCTGCAACTAGGCATTGCAACATCTGCAGCTAGCTAGCTTGCGTCATATGTTGATTTTTCTTTTAATGGGCTACAGATTGGCAATGGAATTGGTCTCATAACCCGTTGACAGTGAAGGTTAGAGTCTATTATTAGGGTGCTCGGCAACCATGGCAACCATTGCTTTGGCAACTGTGGACCTATAATGATATTACATAAGTCTTAAATATTGTGCTTTCAAAGCTCCCAAGTGATCACTAGTTCACTTTGTGATCTTTCACTGATCTCTCATGCACAAACCAACATGAATTCCAAACTTAAGGTTTAAAACAGTGTGAAACAGGGTAAAACCACCAACAACACACATCCATAATCCAGCACCACCCAAAGTGAAGTTTTGGATGGACATTGCATTGTCAGGGGGTCTACATTTCACCCTGGGTCGTACTGGATGTAGACGTTTGATGAATCAACCCTAAACCCTAAATCCATATGAAGAGGTTTACAATCCAAAGGAGTGAAGAGATTTTTCATCCTAATCAATCAAGAGTCTACCTTAGTGGATCTCTTCGCCCTGCACATCGAGCTCCTCCCACCTGCACACCTTGATTTTCCAGTGCACTGAGGATCCGACGATGGCATCACCTGTAGCCTCAAGCGTCCAGGTGCTTGGCATTGCCGGCTTTATTGCCGGCTTTAAGACTAGGTTGAGGACAACATTCCGACTCTATCAAAAAAGATTGGCCTGTGGATCCTCCGTCAAAACACTCCCTACAAAGCCAATGCACAAGGTCATGTCCCTGGACATGCTCAGGCAGAAGTCCCCCTTCGTTTTGGGTTAAAGTGTTCTTGAAGGAACGTCCACCATCGGATTGGACGAGACATGTTGGACAGAAATTCGAAGGTCCGTTCACCTACCCAAATGCTCCAAACAGCCTCAAGACCTAGGGAGTCGAGACCCCAGACCCCTCCATGTATGAGGATCCAGGAGCATCTGGGCATTTCCATTCTGCCAATGTATGAAGCTCCATGGGAATCAAGAGGGTTTTCTTGGGAGGGTGGGTGCAGGGATGCATCGATATCTGATCTGATCATGACTCTGTATATGGACATGGATGGATGGTGACGATTCAAAGTTGTTTGTCTTGGAATCCTCACAATACTTTCAGAAGTGAGCTATGATGCCATTGATGCAATCTCACAGGTTCAAAGCCAATGAGGGTGGTGTATGATTCTCCATTGAGACTCGATCCGAACCAAACCAACGGTGGGCACCCAAACGGCTGCACTGCGCCAATGTACTCGTACGCGTTGCCTCACATCCTGCCGCCCACGTGGAGTCGAAGGAGGTCGTGTAGAGTCGAAGGCACGGAATTTTGGACTGGTCCAACCCAGGGGGTTTCAGACCTATGACCACATGGCCTTCGGTGTGGATGAAGTTGAGTATGTTGACGAATCCCAATGGGTTTCCGAAACGAACATGTCAAACTGCGGGGAGATTGATGGACGTGAAATGCGAGTCCCATGTCGCACCCGGCGTTCCATGCACAAAAATCATGCAGTTCTTCGGGAAGAGGTCCACCATCCTTTTTGCCAAGCCAAACCCGGGGCAAGTTGGGATCACTTTCTGTGGCGATTCTGCTCTCTCGGTGGAGGGAGGATCATGGGAGTCAGTCGCGAAGGATGACGGTGTCCTTGGTTGGCCCAGGTGTTCCAGCTGTTGGAAATGAAAGTTTAGAACAATCACATCCACAGTCAGTCCCCTTGCTATCTAGTTTTTTTTTCCTGGGAAGGCGTTGATAGATGCACTTCAACCGGCAAAACATGTCTAATTCAGAGGGACATGCCCACAAGGGGTAGCTAACAGTGATATAGACTGGGTAGTCAAAGGATCGTTCATCGATAATTTTTGCTGGAAAGTGTGAGGGGCATCCTTCATCCCGCAGGAATCCTTGCTTCACAATGTGTCTTGTGTTTCTTCCTGACTCATGGCTTGTCGAACCAGGTCAATGCAATCAATTACGAAATGTATCATTGATTGATCCAGGATCCATTACATGTATGTTTTTTAATATCCAGCGTCTGCCAGGTCTCGCACGCCTTCAAACTCGTGATTCCAAGAAGCTTCACGTCGTCAGGGAGTCGAAAAGAAATTGAAGACTTTGATCGTCAAACGGGGCAAATTATTTGACCCAATCACTTAAGGAACTCTTTTGCAGAAAGCTTTGCTTGGAGAAAGTGCTTAGCATATAACTTTGGAAGTCAAAAATCTGACCCGCGGAGCTGACATCGAATTCCTCCTCCACCACAAAGCGATCTCGGCCGCTGCCCTGGAGCCAAGGGGACATTTTACGGGGTGTTGGCCACCAAGGGCTTAGATTGGTGTTCAAGGAATGTTAAGGAGGGCTCACATGAAAAGGCCCACCTGGCGAATTGATCCATATACTTTGGGTCTATCCTATTACCTGTAACAGTGGATGGTTAGTACAGGCCTTGTCCAAAAATCGTGATAATTGTTTACTGACTGTTGCAGGTAATAGAACAGACCAAAGATATACTTGTGATTTGTTGTGTTTTCTCACTGGCAGGGACTTCGTGTCGCAGTTCACAACACGGGACTTCGGTCCAAGATGCACGTAGACACGACATGGGATCCCGTCACTGGGAGATCGTTTTTGCTTTCAGCACCCCGGCGTCCTCAAACAACCCGACGCGTGGATTTCTGAACGTGTGGTCTGGTGGTTTTTTGCTTTTATCTATAGCACTCCAGCGTGGTATTTGCAGTGTTTTTGCAAGTTGAATGCAGAGAAATGAGTGTATTTCTAAGGGGTTTTACAACTGGTTTGGTATTTGCCACACAAAACATGATTGACCATGCCTAAAATGAGATCTCATTTTCAAGAAAGAATGTATCATCACAGGACATCTGCGCCTGTTTCTCACATGCCTCGCAGCGTTTTCGCAGTAAGTGTGGCCAGGGAATCATGCTTGGCATGTTCCCATCGCCACTGCCACGCCCTTGCGTGACGCCAGATCTTCTGATTGATCTTTGTCTTATCGGTGACGTCCGTGGTTCTGATCTGCTTGGGCAAAGCTTTTTTCAACAAAGACCAAACTCCATCGTGCCCGTATGAACTTTCAGAGTCTTTCTCTTGAACTTCACCGTGTGACAAAACTGACCGGACCGGTGAGAACAAGCAAAGTGTTTTACCTGCATCTTTTCACACAAAGAAGGATAGACTTTTGCCCCATCAGAGAACAGAACGGTTCGTTGGCCAAGTCCGTCGTGACTCATGATGTGGTCCAAGACACCGCTCTTCTCAATCGCCTTCTTGCCTTCCACTGGCGGTTTACCAAAGTTGACCGCATCAGCAGCTCCTGCAAATCAAGACGCCAGGTAATTTATCAAAAAGGATTTCGAGGCATAAACACACACACTCATGGATATGCGTACTGATGTGAATGCGGTGCCACGCCGGCCTAGGGTTCCAATTCCTAAGGGTACAGGTAGGGAAACCTAAAAGGAAGTGGAGGTCCATCAATGTTCAAAGGCCATCAAATCCAATAGCACGGCAAAACTTGAAGTGTCTTCGTTGAGCGGTGACTTCAAGAATGCCCACCGCTCCCCTGCTACAAATCCAAAAGGATCCCTCTGATTCCAAGGGGTACACACACACACGGGCACACACACACACCAACACACACACACACAGACTTGCTACTCACATCCCCCCCAATGCAAGACAAAACAAGTCAAGAAGTAAAGAAATCATGTCCCAGTCAAGGCACCGAGGTCGTAGAGATTTACCTTTCTTTGGTCTCTGACAGCCACTCCGAAGGCTTGCCAGTAGCGTAAAGTGGTTGTGCCCTGCAAGCGGCACTTCCTCAATGAGGTCGCATCTGCTTCCAGGTGTCCACACAGCATGCGATTGTTCTGCACGTGAGTAGCGCAGCGCGACTCAGCGTCCAGCAAGCAAGGCAAATGTGCGGCGGTTAAAGAGTTGAGTAGACAGCAACTTCAGTTCCCAATCGGTGGTTCAAACTATTTAGCACAAGCTGACTTCATTCGAGCAACTTTCTCTTCAGTTCCGGAGAGTCCAAAATGGGTATGCTATTGCTATTGTGCGCATTCCTGCCAAGAGAAGCCAAGAGAAGTATAGTGGAACTAACTCTTTTACCGATCTAGATTCCCTTACCGAAACATTGTTTGCTACCATACTGCAGTCGACATATTTGCATGTCTGCGTCCATGAGAAAACTGTGCACACCCCAAACAATCTCCTGCGTTCCATTTCAACTTCTTCCGAGCCATCCGACCAGAAAAGAGCAGGTGTGAAGCCACCGAAGTCAACCGAACCAAAGCGACGTGTGATCAAAGCATTGTAGCGAATGCAGCAGGAAACGGCAAAGACCGAAATCGGCCGAAACATATACATCGCTAAAAAAGCCTGCAGTACCAACATCGCATGCTCATCTAACGCGGACCAACGCAAGTTCCTGTTCGGAACGCCAGATTCGTCCATCATGATCTCAAGTGTTGCTCTTGCTCCTGGCGACTCCACATCTTGCGTCAGAACCTGCACTAATTCCATGGCCATCGACCACGGCAAATGAAAACGCCCAGCCACAAAGATCTTCCACAAAAAATTCAGGTCAAAA